CTAAAATGGGTGCCAGGAAATATCGTGGGAAGTAAAGTTTGACAGCGTAATGTTGATCACATGAACTTTCAAATGCCGACTTATCTATTTAAAAAAATAAAAACAAGCTCTTGCCCTAATTGTCAAATAGGTAGTTATCACGAACAGGCCCGCGCGGCGAGAGTTCCTTAACTTCCCGTTCATGCCGCGGCCGGTCGCACGGGGTGACCTTTGTTGTGGCGTTTATATATTCCTTATTTGCAACGGTCTAACCGTTCTCTCTTTTCTCGTCTTGTCATCGCTCACTTCCGCTATGTGCTACTTGCTTGATTGTTCGTGAGTATCAAAAGATGGATGTTTTTGTACTTTTACATTCCTCGTTAGTGACTTCCTTTTCTGGGAGAAAGCTACCGCCAAGGAATGTAGAAATAAAAATAAATAAAAAATTATTGTTTCGATACTCAGGAAAAGTCCAGCCCTAGGCATTTGCTCCTGCAATAGTTCTTATTTGTAAACAGGCGTCTTTGGCGCCTTAGAGAGACTCCCGACAAAACAACCTTTAATTACCATTGTATTCAACGGGTGGACGCCGATCGAAGCCATCTCATAAAACCTCCACAGCAAAGAACAGGTCGTATGACAAACCACGGCATTATGGGAGGGGAAGGAACTCTCGCCGTTCGGACAAGTTCGTGATAGGTTCCGTCCAGTATGCCTAGAGTCCTTTTCTTTACTTACCTAGGTCGACCGAGCCTGAAATGGCTACCGGGTCATGCTGGGAAGCAAGGACAACCAACGACGTGTCGTCCACATTACTCAAATAGTACCAATTGATCTATAAAATGACTCCAACACTGTATGCCCAGTGAGTCAAAAATGCGAAAATGGTACTTATTTACTTAATCTTTAGTTGTATCTCGTCAAGTGTATACACATCGTCACAGACATCGTCCTTTAGCACAGTATGTCGTTGGATCACCAGTTTATGTTGACTCAATGATCAGATCCCCTCTATCTTTGACAGCCAGATATCATTGACTTCTATGTTCCTGTCTACGGTCTATCCACAGCACGACAAGTTCTGTAACCAGTTTCTGCCTCTTCTCGGCTACACTTTAAATGAAGTAAATAAATGACTGCACTAACTGAAAAATTATACACAAGGAACCCTTCTTCTTAACGTTCACATCATCATCATCATTATCACGTGACCTTTGGCTATTCTTCAAGTATAATGGGCGACATAGCAAACGCCTAAACATATTACACATCCCTAAACCTAGAATATACTTGTACAAAACAAGCTTGCCGTACTTTGCAGCTCATCTGTGGAACCCACTTCCACAACCAATCAAAAACATCAACAACCCCTATAAATACAATTAGAAGCTTTTTGAATATTATCTCACTTCAGACTACAAGACCCCTTAGAAGATAATAGTTTCCTAAGAACACTGTTAGTTTCCACCAAAACTTATTATTATTTTCTTTTTTTGTATTATAATTGTTTCAAAATGTAGGCATAATTAGAGTACATAGTTACAAAGATGTTGTTGATGATGCTTATTAATATCATTATTATTATTACTATCTGCTAAAACAATGTGTGCATAAAAAAATGTATGCATGGCGTGAGACCAGAATGGCAGAATGTAAGACGGGCATGTGTGCCCAGTTCTCAACCCTTTAAAAATAAAGTTTGTTCGTTCGTTCGTTCGTTCATTCGTTCTGTCCTTTGTTCTCTAGATCAGTTCCACCGATGATATCACCCTATGCCACCGTCTCAGTCCATCCGTCATCATCTCTCTTGGTCTGCTGTCCAGTCTGTAAAAATCCGGCGAAAAGTTTTGGTTGTTCATCTCCTTCTGGCCTATGGCTTTGTCTCACATTCTGATTTTTCGTGCACGTCCGTTTCACAGATCTCATTTGTGTCCATGCTTGTGTTCCTGTGGGTCTAGCCCCCCCCCCCCCCCACCCCATAATGTGGACCCCGGAACCCACACAGGAAACGGAATTTAATCACAAGGGATTGTGTTGTGCTTCTGGCAGTGTGGTCAGTGGCATACTAGATTCTGTCTGGGATACAGCTGCAATTTAGGACGGGTGTGTGAGTGCGTGTGTGTGTGTGTGTGTGTGTGTGTGAGTGTGTGTGTCTGTGTGTGCGAGAGAGATTCTTGAAGCATGGGCATTACTTACTTTGGCCTACGTCATTTGGAGCTCAGAGGGGGAGTAAACAGTCCCTTTACAAGGCGGGAGATGAGGCCGAGGGGCCTAAGAAGCGTTTAAGCGCGTAATATACATAATATATATATATATATATATATATATATATATATATATATATATATATATATATATATATATATATATATATATATATAGACACACACACACATACTTTATACATAATGAGTAACTTGGCAATTATATAAAGTAAAAAATTTAAGATAAGATTAACTGAAAAACACACACACACACACACACACACACACACACACGCACGCACGCACGCACGCACGCACGCACGCACGCACGCACGCACGCACGCACACACACGAGTCTTGGAAGGGTACACATGGCCTTGGCCGTCAGATTCCAGCGGCCCTAATTCCATCGCTTGTTGAAATTGTTCTTGCAGCCTTCTTGTCTCAACTCAAGTCATCAATAAAACCACACATTGCCCAGCATCTTCCGCGCCAACGCAACCTTTCTTTCAGTCCCAAATGTCGGCTGCTGTATCGGCGCCGGTCCTACAGTAGCGTTACGGAACAGTAGCTTTTCTGGATTTTTGTGTAATTTTTTTTCGACTGCAAATTTTATCGATAGTTTTTATTTGCTTGTTAGGTGAGTGAATGTTATTGTTTTCTGAATTATAATGAGGTATGGTAAACAACTTTTAGGCTGAGCTGTTTTTGCTGCCTATATTATACCATTTTAATGCAGTGTGTCGGCTCTGTGGCTAAGTCGATGCGAACGCTTCGAAATGCAGGGGTACCGGGTTCGATCCCAGCTACGGGCCATACGCCTTGTGTTGGTTTCCACAGTGGTATCAGGGGCCGACCGTCCAGTGGTAATGGCAAACTACTGAACGTAAATTTGCCTAGAGAAACCACACAACAGCCAGGGGCTGCTGGGGTTGGTTCTGCAACGTCCTGTAAAGGATACGAAACTACACCTTTAAAAGTGCAGTGTAGGACAGTTCGGGGGGGGGGGGGGGAGAGCATGAAGTACCAACAGTGGGTCTTTCTGGTAGCCATTTTATCTCACTTTACTTAGATGTACAGATGCATGGCTGCAAAGTACATTTTGATTAGAAATTATCATTCATAACTTTCTTTAGCATATATAATATCTCTGTTTTACAGGCAATAGCTGATGTTTTGAATTATTCTGAAGCCAACCAGACTATCACAATGACTGGCCAGCTGTTTCTGCGTGCTGTCATGACAACAGTCGCGTTCTTCAGCTCTGGAGACCATTTAACTTTAGGTAAGAAGGTGTCAAATGATATCATCTGCATAAATTCTAACTTTCGACCCTGGGTGCCAGCACAAACCTGCGAAGGGGGCGTCATAAAGCCCCTTACATATTTTCTGAGCTAAGAGAGCTTAAAGGGTCAAATGCTTGGTCAAAGGCTTGATTAAGTCCCTACTGAGGATGACAATGATGATGATGATGATGATGATGATGATGATGATGATGATGATGATGATATGCTGAAAGTAAATAAATATTTTTCAGATAATGTTAAATGCATTTAAAACATTTAAATTGAGATCTTCTATACATCGTTTGCTGTGTGGGAATGGAGGGAGGGCTCCTGAGGATGCGAAAAGGTCTCATTATTCCACTTACATATTTTGTTGGATGGCTCAGCCTTCACTTCTTCAGGTTTGGTAGGGAGTGGGCGGATACCTAAGCCGATAGGCTCCTGTGGTCTGCTTTCATGCGATGCAGAAGAGCTCGAGTTAAAGATTACTCACGCTGTTTGCTTCGATGAATTTTCCCTTGTGTTTGTTTGTTTGTTTTAGTATCCAGAAGCCATGAGTTGTTAACCCTTAGGCTCGGTATTATGGATCTCGCAACCTTTCGGCCTTGATTCCATTGTAAAAACCGTAAATCTGGAAGAAAATATGGCTTTCCTGCCTACCCCCGGGATTGAACCCGGACCACAAGTTCGTCACCCGGTCTCCACTCAATCCGGTTTAGCCAGCTACGCTAGAGAGCCGGGCTCCCTTGTGTTTAAGATGGCAAGGTGACGATCTTGTAGCGGAAGATGACCTGAAACATAAACTAGTAAAGTAAAAGTTCCCCCCCCCCCCGTCTTCAGGCGTATTGGGCATATTGGGCTAGACCTATATGTTATAGACCCAACGGTACTTGTTTAGTGATGCGGTCAGCATCACGCCTGTCGCCTTTACTTCCCATGACTGTACCTGGTACCAACTGAAGGCTGGGTTGACCTGGGAGCCAAGGTATCTATTGAACAAAGACCAGCCCTGTCAAGACCCGAACCCACGACCTTCTAATCCGCAGGCGAGCGTCTGGCCACTAGACCACGACGGCTGTCGTAACATAAAGTAGGGAAATTTGTAAATTTAAAATTGGGAACGCAAACAATATTACTGTTGCCTCGCATATTTCGTTGTTTCTCGTGTAGCGCAGTATTGCAGTTACATCATTTTATAATGAATGATAAACATTGACCCTGTCCAAAAGAATACACAAAACACAATGTCTAATTACACAGGAGTTATAAATTAGCTATGGTTATTTCACATTTACAACGTGCTCTCTTTGTTTGCAAAAGGCAGAGTGGTTCATTTGTATTGGTACGACTGAGATATTTGGGTCATATTAAACTCCAATTGTTTGGTGAGAGCTTTCGTTTGATGCTCAACCCCCACCAACCCCCCGCCCCCCCCCCCCCACCCCACCCTTTCCATGTGTCATCTTTGTGCAGCCACCCTAGTGCTACACGATAATGATGATGATGATAATAACTTGTGTATGTCTGATAGCTTCCCCTTGTGACGGCTCACCAGAAGCTCTGACGGTTGACTACACAGCCAAGAAAGTCTACTCGCCCGGATACCCTGCTCGCTATGACAAGTAAGAAAATGCCATTTTCACGCCGGGCATCTTCTTCTGCTTTTAAATTACGCTCTTAATCCCATAGTGCAGCATAGGTCCTCAACTAACTCAGGTCGTCCTATCCTTCGAGCATATTAAGTAGTTTTTAGGTCTCATTGGCTCCTTTAATGGCTTTGTATAGTTGTAGCCGTGAAGATCGGTAAGGGTCAAATAATTGTACTTAGTCGGAGCTGTGTAGTATGTCTACACTTCCTGCTAATTTTGCCCCATTCTGATCAGAAGACCAAACGAATTTCATCTTCTTCTTCGCGTTCACTGGCTTTCAACTAAAGTGAAAAGTTCTGGTTGTTTGTCCACGTCTGGACTTTAGTCTTGTTCCAAAACTTGAGTGTTGCACATCTGTATGACATACCTGACGTAATTGTATGCAGATTGTTGGTTCCTTGTCCCTCAGGCAGATGCACTTCGACTTCAAAGGAAGCCATAAATTAGTCGACTCTTACGGCATGCTTGTTGGAGAGGCAGTGGGTCTTTTCTTGTTTTCCTCACAAAGGGGCCCAAGAACCCACACGGAAATAAAAAGAATACCTAACCCTAAACCGGTTTGATTCTTTGATGTTCTATGAAATCATGTATCAGTAATGTGCGTACAACTGTTCTTAGTTGATCATAGGTGACTTTGTCTCTTCTTGTGTTTCCTGTCACACCTCTTAGCGATCTCATCTCACAGATAGTAAGTAAAGTCAGTTATGTACTCGTTTATGCCATTGCGCCACAGACGTGTGGTTCTTGGCATCTGTATGTGCACTGTAGACTAATCAGCTTTCAATAGATCCTGCAACAAAATTTATACGACCATCTTTACTTTCTATGACATTTTTGGGCTCGTATTTTTGGCCTTTTAGATAAAGAAACATGAAGCAATTATCCAGTGTTAGCTGATGCGAATACGAATTCGAGACTTTCAAGGCGGCAGGCATGCGTGTATTCATTGAGCTTCTGCAGCTTCTTGTTTAGATAAGTATTTCAAATATTTTTGTTAGCTTTGATTTAGGATCTGTTTCAATGTAGCATTTCTGTAAATAAACTATTGCCTTTTGGTGAGGCTGGCATGGTGTCGAGACCCTAAAGAAGCGAGGTCCTAGGACGTCTCAGTCAAAACTGAGTACCAAGACATTTCACGGGAAGTAAAGGAAAAATAAAGAACAATCAACAGCACAGTAGTGGTAAATCATTTCATAAAACATCAAAGGATCACATGGTTTGGTTATTTGTTCAGAAAAAGAAACGCTTTAAGAACACATCGAAGTCTTCATTTAAAGCATTTGGGGTGAATGACATCAATTGGAAGCCCGCCTCTCAAAACCGAAATGCATGACGTGCAGCTCTACACAAGGGTGCGGCTACATGTGAAGCAAACATAACAGCAAGACTTATTAAGAAAAGGATGGACAGAAAGGCGACTGCAGGAGATCCCCTCCCTGGCACACCGCTCATTCCCTGTCCTCATTGTCCAAGAACTTTTCGGGCCCGCATCGGCCTCATCAGTCATCTTGGTACTCACACTTGATGAAAAAGAGTGGTTATCATCATCTTGATGGACAACAGAGCCTTATATTCAAACTGACACCGTTATTAGGACATCCAAACATAAGTATGAGCGCCCAGAAACAGATTATAAACAGCATATTTATACCAACACTGTACTTCTAGTGTCCGATTTGGACATAATCAACCCCACTTTCGTAATATGAACACCTGTGAAGTGAGATGCCCGAGAAAAGCCGTACATTAACTAACAGAGACAAAGTTAGAAATGAAATGATCAGACAGACTGTAGGAACAACACCGTGCAGCAAGTTCATTAACAAACAGAAGATCAAATGGTTTGATCATCTAGTTAGAATGCAGCCAGAATTACCCAGGCAGGCGCTAAACAAGAAGAAATCTGTAGTAAAATCAAGAGGCCATCGTAGAAGAATATGGACTGATGACATTAAAGAGCTTCTACATCGATACGTAGCGGAATGCTGGAGAATGACCAAAAAGGATACACACAAGCTGTCCACCTTTTACCACACATGTCAACGTAGAATTATCAAAATTTTCTGGCCAGATACAATCTCAAACGCTGAACTACTTCAAGTCACAAACCAAGAAACTTTAGGCAGTATGATAACCAATAGAAGATGGAAATGGCTTTGCCACGTTATGAGAATGAATCCTGATTTACCCGCCAAAACAGCTCTCACATGGACACCAGAGGGAAAGAGAAAACAGGGGCGCCAAAAAACAACATGGAGACGAATGATGGAGAGTGACCTGACTGCGGCATCCTTGACATGGAAAACTGCACTGAAGATTGCACAGGACAGGAAAGCATGGAAAGTCCTCTCTGAAGCCTCGTGTGCCACTAGGCATAACGAGAACTGATGACATCGATACGTAATTACAATTGTCATTGCTGCCCATTAAGCAATGCATCGCAAATTGTTCCTTCCCGCAACGCTTTTCAGCAGAAGTGTAATTGTATGATGATGATAATGAAACATTAGTTGAACGTCTGTTACCAGATGTTATGTTCTGAACTGTCTCTCCCTCTCTCCGAACCAGCAACCTAAATTGTGAATGGCTACTGGAGGCAGGAGCTGGCGTGAGGCCAGGATTTGGAATACAGCTGGCAACATTGGAACTGGAGCTGGATCCCTCATACGTCACGAATGTTGGGGAATGTGATGATTTCCTAGAGCTGTTTGAAGGTATGCCTCAGTGTAGTAATTACAGTTATCATTGATAAAGTTAGTTGCGTATCCTTTACAGGACGTTGCAGAACCAACCCCAGCATTTCTTGGCGGTTGTGGATTTTCTAGGCAAATTTTGCCTTCAGTAGTTTGTCATTGCTTCTGGACGGTCAGTTCTCGGTACCACTGTCGAAACCAACTCAAGACAAATCGTCCTCAGCTGGAATCGAAACCTGCACACCGGTATTACGAAACGTGTTCGCCATGCCTATCTCATAAAGAGTCACTATTATTGATAGTGTGACTTGAATAGCGGTTAGAATATGGGGCTGTTATTTGGTAGACCCGTGTTTGAATCATGGCGCGTTTGAGCTAGTCATGTTTGAATCATGACGAGGTTAAGCTAGTCATGTTTGAATCATGGCGAGGTTAAGCTAGTCATGTTTGAATCATGGCGAGGTTAAGCTAGTCATGTTTGAATCATGGCGAGGTTAAGCTAGTCATGTTTGAATCATGACGAGGTTAAGCTAGTCATGTTTGAATCATGGCGAGGTTAAGCTAGTCATGTTTGAATCATGGCGAGGTTAAGCTAATCATGTTTGAATCATCAGTAGAGTTAATGCGGTTTTGCTGCTGCAAATGTTGTCGAGGGCAAAAATAATTCCCGAGCCTGCTACCACAGGAACGGTAAAACCATCATCGCATTGAAGATTTTTTGAAGTAGATCGTTCTAATCATGCCTTGCTGCAAATCCCCGTTGGCTCCTATTAAATTTCTTGCTTCGTAAACCTTCATTTCCGGGACTTTCCTTGACCCTACCCCCCCCCCCCCCCCCCCCCCCCCACCCTCCTCCCCCTAGTCCATGTGAAAAAATCGAGCCCTTACAGGGGATTGAACCCGGAATCTCTAGCACTCGAGGCGGACATCATGTCTCGGGACCACGCAGCCCCCTTGTCGTGTAATAATTGTGTTCCCTGTCTGCAGAAATCATAGGTGAAAAAAAAAAGTAAACCAATTTTAGGAAAGCAGGTGTTGGAACAACAACAACGATTAAAAACGTTTACTAAAAAAGTCGGGAGCTTTTGAACTGAAAGGCAAAAAAAAAAAAGAAATAGAGTTAAATCTACAGATCTAAACATCATCTAAAACTGACTCATAAACAGTATTTTTGAGACACTGGAGACGCATGGCAGGAAAGTAGATGAGATGGGAAAACTGGCGAGAAACAGAGTTTCTTTTAGGCGGACTGTCTTATTCTACTTCTTCGATTCTTCTGTCAGAAAACATATATCAGAAGGCCGTTAGCCTGTCTGAAAGCTAACGTGCATCCAAATCTACCTGTGTGTCATACAGTTTTGTCTTCACTGAGGATGATCCAGGCCAGATTGCGTCTCTTTTGGCGTCATACAGTAGACAGTGTTGGAGCTGTTGCTATGCATTTACTGTTGCACAGTTTCAAAACACATCTCAGTGTTTCCTAAACTGACAAAATTGAACACTTGTGAGCGACGTCAGTTGTATCCCGTCCTTAGTCTGAATACAACAGTAAGGCTCTTATGGAAGCGACATTTGGTAAAGCACCTGCTAAATTATATTGATGTTGTTCAGTAAAGCTGACTTTTGAGATTGTATTATTACATCATTAATTTCCTTCTCATTTATTTCCTTATAAGTTTGGTTTCATTGCCAGTTTCCGTGAGGCATGGCGAGGCGAAGGTGGGACGTAGAGACAGGGCGAGAGAAAGGGGGGGAAAAAAGGAGGGGGGGGGGTTGGAACAATTAAACAAATTAACTACTTGAAACGTTGATAAAACCAGTTTTTTTATATGGCTCTAAAACTTGGAGCACAGAAAAAGGGATGAAGCTTTATTACAGGTTTTCGAAAACAGAGGCCTACGACAAATCTTTGGACCCATCAAAGATACAAGCAGTGGTAGTGAACCTCGGGAGCTCGTAATACTGAAGTAGAAGAAGAACTACCTAAAAATGAAAAAAAAAAAAAAGCCTACTACAGATATCATTCATTCCTTTAATTTCATTAAGAATGTCTTACTACAACAGTTGATTATGGCGATGTAGGTCGGGGTGGATAGAGGGTTAGTGGGAAAAGGGAGGGGGGGGGGGGTCTCAAAATTAAGGACCGCATGGCAATTGCTGTACGTGTGGGAACCGACGATTCGAACCTGGGTCTTTGCATGAGAACGCGGCAGTCTAACCACTTGGCCAACTGATCCTTTTGACCCCCATTACTAGTCCCAAATACTGGACCCTTGTTCCCTTAGAGTTAAAATTAGACCGTTCTCCTCCAAAAAATGTGAAGTTTGTTAATTTATCGCGTACTTTCATCCTCCAGGAGCTCCTTCCAACCCAGGCCCCAGCTTGGGCAGATGGTGCGGCAGGGCACTGAAGATCGTCAAATCCATGGCAACCACCTTAACTCTCAGATTTTCCACAAACGGTCTTTATACAGGCAGAGGATTTGTCATTGAGTATTCCTTGATTAGAATTGGTAATTTATGATTTTTTTTTTTTTTTTTTCTGTTAGTGCATTTATTAAAGTGCATCAGGTAATATTGCTACGTAGCTTTAGTGTTGCATGAGTTTCTTGTGGCCTTATTGAAATGAGAGGGAGTCGCCGAAGCGTAGCGGCTAGATGCTCGCTTGCGAATCGGAAGGCTGTGGGTTTGCTCCCTGGAGGAGCCGGTAGTTTTTCGAAAAGGACTTTTACTCTCAGATCGATCCAGCCTCCAGTGGGTACCAGGTGCAGACACGGGAAGTAAAGGCTGCCGGCGTGATGCTGACCTTATCACCCATCTTGTGCCGTTTGGTCTATAAAAATATAGGTCTAGTTCTATATGCCCTATACGCCTAATAGGCGTGGAAAAGGATCCCTAATTTCTTTTACTTTTATAAGAAGAAGAAGAGAAGAAGAAAAGGAAGAAGAGGTGGAGGAGGAGGAAGAAGAAGAAGATGGACGGGGAGAAGGAGGGGATTAAGAACACTAGGAATGTCCGTAAATAAGGAGAACTGAAAACTGCAAAAGAATCCTCCGCACACACTTGTACATGCGTTGGGGATCGCAGGATGAGACGAAGCATCACCACCCTACGCCAACTGGCAGGGCACTTGAACACACGCATACACGCACCCACTCACCTACAGAAACACAGACATACAGACATACAGACACACAGACATACAGACACACATACAGACACACAGTATTACACACAGACACACACGCACACACAGACACACACAGAGATACACACTCACACAATCACAGCTGGGATGCTATGGTTTCCTCTCCGCAGGGTCTGCCGAATGTCTGCCAGGGCGTACAACACCAGTTCATGTTGGCCGAGCACCCTTGTACGAATCGTTTGAAGTGAAAAGTTCAGAAAACAGGTAATTGTACATCAAATGAAATAGTATATGTGAGCATCCTACTCGAAACTGCTGTTGTCTTCTTCATTGTTTATCCGATTGACATAATTTGCATTGTACTTGTTTACAGTATAGCTGCGATATTAGCGCCTTTCTTCTGTTACACCCGACTTTATCGAACATTTGTTGTCCTGGTTAGCCTTCCCAGCGAGTTTTGTTAGACTTTGAGCAGCCTTATTGTTTTGTCGCTGGTAAACAGATGCCCTACCTTTTTTAATGCAAATCACGTGCATACATTTCTACCATCAATTCCAGTTCCAATTCTTTCTAAGAAAAACAAAACAAAAACTTAACCAAGTTCAACCTGCTGTTAGCCAGCCGAAGCTGCCAATAGTCTCCGGCTATATTTGTAGTCTTGTTTATTTGCGCCACTTTCGTAGTTTAAGTTCTGGTATTAGCGCCGTCTCTGGGCTTAATGCTTCTCTCATCTAAGTCAGACCGCTGATTCCTTACCCTGTTATCAACTGTGTTCTTCTTGTCCTTTCATTCCTGATGTTTCCTCCTTGGTTTCAGCTCCTTCTGATTTGGCCAGGCGTCCATAAAGGGAAGGAAGAAGCAGAATATTTGTATTCCCTGCCATCCTAGGAGACTTTCATAAATGCAGAGCCTATAGGTGGAGTTCTGGTACTGGGCTTCCCCAAAGAATCTTCACGTCCTGGACATAACTGTTTAACTTTGCTACCTTATTTTTACCCTTCCACGCATCACGTTCTATCCGTTTGTGGATCGAAAGGATTCGGTCCGCACACATAGCCTTCACAAATTCAACATTTTTCTTCCTCTGGGAAATAGATCTTTCACCTAGACAATTGCACTTTTCATGTGGGTTCTTCTATGCACTCATTATGGCAGTATAGTGAGATGTATCAAAAATATATAAAACGTTGATAAGACCAGTGGTTTTATAAGGCTCTGAAACGTGGAGCACAGCTAAAAGAGATGAAGTCTTACTATAGGTTTTCGAAAACAGTCTTACGACGAATCTTTGGACCCATGAAAGATGCAAACAGCGGGGAATTGGGACTGAGATGACACAATTAAATTATTAATCTGTCTAAATCACTATTGATCATTAGCATCATGAGAGCTAATAGACAGAAATGGTTATGACATACTGAAAGAATGTCAGATGACAGAGAAGTAAAAACTGTATATACAAGGGAGATGCATGGTCGTAGACCACGAGGCAGACCAAGAATACGATGCATAGATAATGTTCAGACAGACTTGCAAACACTTGGTGTCACCAACTGGAAAGAGAAGGCCAACCAGAGAGATGAATGGATGTGCGTGATATCTGCAGCAATAAATCTCAAGGGCTCGAAATGCTGAAGATGAAGAAGGAGACAGGGCAAGGAGGATTATCTTTGAAAGCATTCACATTGAATGTCTTTTTCTCTTGGCCACAACACTGAAGTGTGTTTAGTCTTTGGTAAAGCACATTTAAACTTGTATTTCCACTCAGTAGAATCTTCGCACTATAGAAAATATGAACTTTATTTGTGATTTCATATGGTCTTCACTAAATGGATATTAGAACCTTTTTTTTTTTTTTTTTGTCATTTTGTAGGATTCTCAGTCGATTTGTAAGTATCAGGGATAGTGAAAGAATTCATTTTCTTTGATGAGTCTATCCACAGACACCCGGCTTGCGGGGTTGACGGATGGGTGTCATAGGTTTTCTGCTTCTAGACATTGTATCTCAACGAGCCACATATCCCTAGATCTACTACCGGCTCAGTGTACATTATTATTGGCCATTTTCCGTGAGGCATAGATGAGTCTGTGGGACAGGAGTCTTGCATGAGGTTCCCTAAAACCTTTAAGACTTATTCATATTTCCTTCTTTATTCACTGTCACACTACAGATGCACCTGGACTGTGGAAGCCATAGATGAGAATGGAGCCTCAGACCGAGATTCAACTGTAGTCATCGAAGCTTTCAGTGTCCCCAAAGTCTTCTGTGAAAACGGGAAATTTATCGTTTATGATGGTAATGAGATATTCCTAATAAACTATATTCTTTCTAACGTCTCAAATTTTGTCGTATTTGTTTCAGTTCTTATGTTCTTTTTAATTTTCTTTTAAACCGCTTTGGGTGTCGACGGAGATTTATGGTTCTGATGCTAGCTCTTTCGGCCGGCTCGACCATATGCACATCTTGTTGTTGTAGAGTTTCTCTGATGTTATCCTTCCCTTTTTTTCTTTGTCTATCTTGTACTTAACGTCCTACTTCTCCTTTGGTGTATAGCTTGTATGATGTGACGTCATAAGTCATTCTAACTCGGTAAACAATTTGATTTTGTAGTTAATTCAATATTGGTACTTTGTTGACTTTTTCTTAAATAAACTCATTTTTGATTAGGTCTCTGCTTGTCAATCCTGCAGTCCGTCAGTTATCTCATTTCCATGGTTACTAATTTTCCCAACGTTTTTTGTATGGTTTATAGTGAGTTTAGTGTCTTTTTAAAAAAAAAATTTATATAGTGTCTGGTACAAGTCGCATAGAGTGTAAATAAATATGTTTTGTATCAGACGTTTCTTAGTGCTAATTATGCTGTTTTCAAAAAAGGCCCCGGGGTGGGGTAGGGGCGGGGGTTGGGTGGGTTAGCCGTCCCACTATTCGATTTGTTTTGCTGCATCTGATGTTAATTTAGTCATCCAGTTTCCCATCTAAGGTGAACGCTGTTCCCAGTAACTCACACGCCTGTTTAATGCACTCGGCTACCATTGTATTGGTTAATTTGTATTGAACTATAAACAATAATGTTAAAGTAAAATATCCTGTACCTGTAAGTAAGTAAAGCAAAAGGGCCTGTCCATTCGGTTAGCGTAAAGGACACGTGGTGCTAGACGCTTATTTGTATAGAAAAGCTGACACTTGATGACCGTTTGGATCAGTACACTGGCTGTTTTTACTTGCAAGTGTGCCAAAAGCAAAGCTAAGAGGAAATGTTGCCTAAAGGAAATGGAAGGACATTATGAAGGATGATATAAAAATCTACGCCTTGAATTTATCTCTACTCCCAGCCTATAAGAGCTCCAACAAAGAATGTCGTAGTGAGTGGCAGCTGAAACCCACTCTGAAGCTGCATTCATAACAAGAAAAAAATGTTCCTTAGGCAGAGACTAAGAACTGTAGTGTCATAGCCCTGATAAGATATGTTCTGTATGAAGTATAATTAGCAGTAACAGTTAAACTATGCACACTGACTCCAAGTCTTATTTCGAATCAAAACAACTTGAAATATAATAATTAAATTAAACATCTTTTTTTTTTTTAAATGAACACAAAACTAACGTGCTTCCCAGATAAAAATATATTAACAGTCAACATCTTTTCCACACAGACCATGTGCTAAGCACTTCAGCTATCACAGATGAAAGTTCATTTTCCGCGACCTGAAATCAAATATCTCCAAGCGATTATACCCACTGATATCTAGATCTACCCAGTTTAACTAATGGAGAAAATTTAGATCTAGTACCGTCTAACAAAAGCGTACCAGCAAAATCGTGAAACCAGCAAGTCAGCATGTCTGTCTCGGCTCAGTCCTCCGCACCAATGCTGCGATCAGACCATGTGCGGGGCGACTGATCAGAGTACGAGCCAAGAAAATACGAAGAGGCTTTTTCACCCTCTACCAGGTCCTTTACAGACAGCGTGACTCCATTCTTAGAGACTTCCAAATGTGTCAGATTTAGTGTAACCAAAGCAAAATTATAACAGGCCAACATTCTACACTTCTACCAGTCGTCTTGCTACACAAGACATTTCTTCGGTCCTTTTGTGGCTGGGTAGATGTCTAAAATTTCTGTCACTGATGAGTTCAACACAGGACCTTATGTCTGAAAGTTGAAAGCAGGCAACCATAGTGAAGGAGAATTGAAGGTCAGCAACGTAGATTACAACTATACCTGAAGGATGTGTGCAGTTAGGAGGGAAGATGCAAATTATTACTCAGGAGAACTAAGATCCCCCTTGGGAATAATTGTGTTAACACAGATTGCTCAGAAGTAGTGAAAATCTTGTCAGCAACAAAGGCAGTGGTCACGGATACAAAGATACGCCAGTCAAATTTTAACTGGCATGACAGTTAAAGCGCGAGAAACAGACTAGAACAGGAGGTGCTGACAATCTTTAGCTTAGATGAAGCAAGACCAGCTGAGAAAAGCTGAAAATGTACTGGTTGACGGATGGCAGAGATGTTACAAATTACCCTGCTTCGAGTAGAATTGAAATAACGATAAAGTATGGAGAGATTGGCCAGCCGAAAGACCGAGAGATCGGGGCAGTCAGCGCTAGGCGTGTTAGCCAGGGGGTCGAAAGATAGGGGTGGCTGCGTGGATTTTTGTCGTGGTATGGGACGTCGTAGGTCGACCCAGCCTAAAATGGGTACCAGGATGCGCTGTCCTGAGAAAGTAAAGACAGCCGGCGTAATGCTGACCACATTACCCACAGAGTGCTGATGGTCTGTAAAAATATGGGACGCTCTGCCCATATGCCCGATGCGCCGAAAGGCGTGAAAAGGGAACTTTCCTTAGAAGGAAGATATTTTAACTTTATACTAGAAGAGAGTTTACAACTTATATTAAAGTGTTCGTTGTGTAAATGAACTTGTCATACTTGAGTTGACACTCATTAATTTTTATAATATACACACTTAATTGCAATTGATTTGTTGGATTACCGGCCATGTTGTTAAACACAATAGATACACTAAGACTATCTTATTATCATGTTCCGATAAGGCACACCTGATTGAGCTTGGAGGGTGTCGAGAACTAGATCCTGTCACACTTGACCTGGTAGGCTAGTATGCTAGCCGCTGAGCTACTGCATTAAAAAATTGTTAGAGAGTTAGTTAGTCAATACGTTAGTTAATTAGCTAGTTAGTTAGCTCGTCAGTTAGTTGGTAAACCAGTTAGCTAGGTAATACATACCTCTTTAGTTAAGTTGTATCG